AAAGCACCGGAGGCGTTAGTTCAGAAATACGTCAATCTTCTTATCCAGCGGATGCATAACAAGGCGAACGAGGTCGAGGACAGCAAAAAAGGCCCTGAGTTTGATATCGGGCCCTGGTTCAACTTTACCACCTTTGATATCTTCGGAGAACTCGGCTTTGGAGAGTCGTTTGACTGCCTCGAGAATTCCCGGTACCATCCATGGATTGCGCTGCTTTTCAACAGTGTTAAGGCGGCCGCGTTTATATCTGCTGCCAAATTCTTCCCGCTGATCACCTTGATGCTCATGAAATGTATACCCGAGTCCCTCAAGAAGATGCAGAAGGATCACTTCCAGCAGATTGTAGATAAGGTCGACCGGCGTCTCAGCTGGGAACTGGACCGTCCGGATTTCATGTCCCATGTTATCAAGTCCAACGGAACCACGAAGATGCCGATTGGGGAGATCTATGCCACCTTCATGGTGATGACCACTGCCGGAAGCGAGACGACTGCAACCACACTCAGTGGGACGATGAATCACCTTGTTTCCCAGCCGGAGACCCTTGCTAAGCTCACCAAGGAGGTGCGCAGTGCATTCCAGAGCGAGAGTGACATGACCCTGGATGCCCTCCATGACCTCACATACCTCGACGCCGTACTTCGGGAGGGCCTCCGAACCTGCCCACCCGTTCCATGGATGCTGCCCAGAATTGTCCCGCGTGGAGGTGACACTGTCTGTGGAACCTGGCTACCCGAGGGTGTAAGTTATTCTCCATTCCGTTCTATTTATATCTATAAAAAACCACAGACGCATACATGTACAGAATGAGACATCTGACCACCATATACCAGACCGCTGTGAGCATCCAAGCATACACCCTCAACCGCGACCCTTCATTCTTTCACTCAGCAACATCCTTTATCCCTGAGCGCTGGCTCCCCGAGGCCAGCACTAACCCAAAATCTCCTTTCTACCATGACCAGCGTAACGCTGTCCAGCCGTTCAGCGTTGGACCAAGAGAGTGCCTTGGCCAACATCTTGCATGGGCCGAGCTGAGACTTATCCTCGCTAGATTAGTCTGGGCGTTTGATTTTGAGGCTGTAGAGGGGAAGAAACTCAGATGGGAAGAGCTGAGGACCTTTCTCCTGGTTGAGAAGAAGCCGATTCAAGTGAGAATCAAGCAGAGATCAAATTAAGGTAAACGACGCGATGTGTTTGGTGCGTCCAGCTGGTGTCTCTGCGGCTGATATCAGCGACCATATCTACATAGTCATCATCAAACGGGTATGCCGGAACGAAACAAAACGGGAGGAGCATTTGCTTGTATACTAATTTCTCAGGGGCAACCCATATTATTCTCTCAGAGTACATCATGAACACCACTCTATAATTTCTCCCTGGGTGCGGATTTGACCAAGACAGGCATTTTTGCTTTTCTCCTTGACATTCTTGAGATAATATGCATTCGCCTCTCAGCCCCTGCCTTGCATACAACGCCATATCAATATCGGGTGTATTATACATGGTCAACCCAGCAAGGTACATCCCAAGCTTATTTCGATGGCGCCCTCACTCGATGGAATTGCTGTACTCAATGCAATGCCTTCTCACCCTCCTTTCGGCCCCAGCCGCAGTACACAGCTTGGAGGCAAAAACGGCAACAAAGCAAATACGTTGCCTAGTTATTCCATATTCAGGTAACGCTTGGCTGCTATACTCCGTGCTATGACGGTGAGAAAGACTTCATCTTATGCTCGGCGCGAATACGATCAGAGCAACCTCACGCTCATAGTTAGTGGTTTTTAGTCTCGGTCAGCGCTCCGGGTCCTTCGTGGCTGTCTTGGTATGGGGTACCTAGCGTAATAGACTGTGCCCCTAATGCCAGGGATGGTACGGGGTCGGCCCACGGCTCAAAGTCAAGAAGCCTAGGCTTGGTAGATCTTTGTAGCAATTTTATAAATAGCCAGGCGGGAAAGATGGCCAATAACAGTATCCAAATATCAGGCGAACATTAACATGTCAGTTAAGATGGGAGGTTGCAGCCCACAGTGGGCAGGCTTTTTAAATTTTTACACGAATGGCGTAGGGTATATACATGCAACTCCACGAAGAACATTCTCCCTTCTTTAAATAACTCGTTAGTTTACTAGGGAATGATAGCTCGGACTCCCTTTGTTTCAATCTTCGGCAGGGGAATAAGAAAGTCGTGGGCTTGCTTTACGTCGCTCTCGTCCGTCTCGAATAGCTCAAACTTGGGGCCGTTGGGTCGGAAAAGCACGGCCAGGATAAGGCTCATCTCGGACATAGCAAGACTATGTGATGGAATTAAAGAAGTCCGTTAGCCCCCGAAATTCTTATTGTGGAAAGTTAGGCATCTCAGGAATACGAAGCAGACGCCGCTAACATATGCATGTTCAGGCTGCAGGCAGATCTGTTCACAGCCACTACCTGTCCAATAACGGTAAAGGAAGATATCACTCACTTCATTCCCAAGCAGTTTCTGGACCCTCGTGTGAATGGGACATAGCTCCTGTGCATTTCAGGAGTCACCTTTCCGAGCCATCGGTCTGGAATGTACTTGTCTGGTTCGGGGAATGCTTTGGGATTAGAGTGCATGAAATAAGCTGACATGCCGACGGGGACCTGAGCGAATGATTAGCCATTGACCACCTGATAAATAGTTAGGGCGCTAAGAAAGAATTTGGAAATATTGTCTTACACCAGGCGGGATAGTGTATTGCTTGTACTGGATGGGCACGTCTGGTGAGATACGGGGAAGTCTGTGCATGACACCGTAGCTGAGGCTGTAAATGTAATTTTGTTAGCACCGCCTTCGCGCTTCGGCCTGGGGCTGGAACTTACCGAAGGGATTCCTTGATGAGTGCCTGCAAAAAGGGCAATTTTTCGAGCTCAGCCCAAGAAGGGACACGCTGCGGCCAGCCTGCCATCACATCCCTGAGTTCATCTTCCAGCCTCGACCGGATATTCGAGTTAGACATAATGTAGAATGATGTAAAGCCAATAGTACGTGCAGTACTGGCGGTTCCACCACCGAGCAGGACCTGGGCTTCCTTGGCTAGTCGTTCTGGTGACCGCTCTGATTCGGGCATATCGCTCGTTGCGATATAGTGGAAAAGAGAGGCATGATGGGTATCCTCTTTACCTGTCCTTTTACTTTCTTCTGTATCTTTCAAGGCTCGATAAATGTGCTGCTTAGCGACCTAAATTTAATTTAACCCCCTTTTTTTAGAAATGCCTCGTTGTGTATCTCTCTCGGTTAACCCCCCCATTCAGGGGGTTTGAGGGAATTTACATACCTCTTTGAAGTTATTGAACATTTGGCCCCTAGGGAAAGCCCGTAGAAGGATTGATTCCGGAATGAAGCTCACTACCCTGCTCCCTGTTAGAAAGTTGGGCTTATTTTCAGCCTCGAGGAGCCACAGGGGTATACTATTCGACTCACTGGACAATCCATGGAAAGGCTGTGAACAAGGGAATTGATCGAACGATCGTGTGAATGGTGTCATACCTAGTCACACGGTCAGATATGCGCCTTTCGCTAGGGGGCCGGCCTTTGCGTTACATACCACTCTGGGTTGAACGTTGGGTGACTCAAAAACGTCTTGCTCTCGTCCCCGCTGTCCAGGCAAATTTTCCCAATGATATCGCCGGAAAATGCGGAGAATGCATGGTCCAGTCGAATCACCGTGTTTGTCCCTTCAAGGGCTCTGATTCGCGATTCAAGCTTGAGAGCTACTTCTGCCAGCATGTCTTGAAGCCGCATAATTCCCTGGCGAGAGAAGAATGGCTCGAGTGGCTTTCGCCTACGTCGATGAAGATCATGGTCCACGGTAAGTAAATGCGACCCTAGTATCAGGTTAGCAATTGGTCAACAATTTTTGCACCTCACCGTGTCAAGGATGTATATTTGCTGACCATCGAAATCAATTCCTTTACAGAAAACGTCATAGTGACTCGTCCTGCGTTTGCTCTCTGTGACGTAGATTTCATTGTAGAAGTCGGGGTCACGGATAGACAGCTCCTCAGGATTAATTCGAATTATAGGACCTTTTTCACCATTAGTTCACCTGATTCGATGGATGCTGCAACTCCTTCTAGGGATGAATCATCCGGGAGGATTGAGGTTCGGTTATTCACCATATTTATCGTGCATCTTCTCAATTTCAAAGAGGTATTTCCCATTGCACCACCAGTCATAGTAAAACTCCGGCCAGTAAGTTGCAATCACCCATTTTGAGCCCGGAAATTTGGAAAGGGGAGAAAAGTAGAGGTTGTAGATGATGAGGCCAAGTGAGTATAGGATATAAGACCCCGCCAATATGGTCAGGGTGAAGGGTAGGTTGAGAGCTATGTTATCCATTGTATCGTCTCTTCCTGCGATGACAGTTGAAGAAAGCGTATTAAAAAGCAGGGGATAACGCTTGGTTAACTAACGACCGAAGCCCGTCTCAGCAGTGAGCACTTTCGACCTTTTTATTTGCAGAAACGGGACAGCCAGCCTCGCGCCAGGTGGTTTGGTGACAGTCTCTCGATTAAGTTCCATCCAGCCCCAGAACAAATCCTCGGATCAGCAGCCAACTGGGGTCATCAAGAAGAACAGACCCTGCATATGAGTCCAATCAGCGTGGCTGATTCCCGTTGATGTTTAGAGATGCATACTTACATACATGCTGAAAATGGAACGGAAGCGGGTTCTCGTAGCCATGAGGACGGCTTGTGCCGAATTATCAAATTGCTCACCAACTGTTTGGGCGCCTGAGCCGTTGGTTTTCCCATGAGCCTTGCTCTATATATACACACGCCATTCTAGTTCATGCCCCTGCTTGTTCTTTTACTTTTGCGTTAATTGCTGGTAAGCAAGTAAACAGGCTAGTTTGGGGCCAGGTAGGCTGAACGTCAAGTCGGTTGGCCCACCTAAAGTTCTGGTAACCAGAGTTGCTTCACGCTATCAGCCTGAAGCTCCACAGCTGGAAAGGGATCATGGCCTCTTCGCTAAGTCCTGGGGGGAAAGCCCCCCCGTTAATTTGCGTGGGCTGAGTGCGCCGCAGATTTCCGTGCCTGAGGTACAGTGTACCTTGGATGTATATGTCCGGTACGAAAGAAAAGTTACCAGATAGCTGGTGAGTGGATAATGTGAAAGGATCATAGGCTGTAAACGTTAGATGTATATCAAAATGATATATAAGGAGCCTCCAGGGCTCTAGATATGTGAAAACTCTAGCCCTCAACTGCTGCATCCTTTCCATATATTTTTTTTTAGCTTGCAGAACACTCTTGCACCATTTATAACTCTTTGCCAATACCATAATCCAACCCAACATAATGGAGTTCCAATACTCTTATGAGATTGATCCACAGTTCTATGAGACAGACGGTCTCGACCTGGGCCTTCCCCTTCGTATGCATCTCGACCCATATAAGGAAATCAACGGTGCTCTACGTGCCCAAGACGACTGGAGCAAGAACGTACGCCCGGTGTATAGCTATAAGGGCGGACTTGGTTACCCATTTAGCTTTATTCGAGTGACTGTTCCAGAGTGCCTCCCTGAGAGACTGGAGATCATATCGTATGCTAACGAGTTTGCTTTCCTCTATGACGGTGGGTAATCATATATCACCACATCGACCATCCGATACTGACGAGCCATATAGACGCCATGGAGAAGCTTGACCTTAAAGGGGTGAGTAAATGACCTCTAGTCTTGGTGGCAGGAACGCAGCGTGATAACTGATGCTAACCATGAGTAGTATAAAGATGGACAGCATCACGATATGCTTGATGCCTTTGGTGATGAAAAGGCACTAGATCAAGAAGCCACATCTCATGATGGCCAAGAGAAGAAACTTCAGGCCCAGATTTTGGCCAACATGGTTGCCATTGATCCCCCACGCGCTATCACGTCTATGAAGGCATGGTCTAAATTCGTGCAACTTGCTTCTCGAACGAGAACACGGCCGTTTGACACACTGAAAGAATACATTCCCAGTCGAGTCATCGACGCTGGAGAGCTGTAAGTATTAAATAGAGGTCATATACTTTTCATATGCCTTGTTCTAACTTCTATGATAGGATCTGGTTCGGGACATTGACCTTTGGAATGGCCCTTACCATCCCAGACGACGAGCTAGAGCTTTGTATGGAGTTGGCTAGGCCGGGATACGCTGCTCTTGGCCTCACTAATGACCTCTATTCCTGGAGAAAGGAGCGTGATGAAGCAGCAGCAGACGGCCTAGACTACGTTTTCAACGCAGTCTGGGTCATTATGCAGGAGCGATCTCTCAGTGAAGAAGACGCAATGATTGCATGTGCAGAGGAAATAAAAAAGCAGGTGGCCGAATTCAACATCATTGTCGAAAAGGCGAAGCAGGACTCCAACCTTTCCAAAGATACTCGAGCATACCTAGAAGCAGTGAGATACAGCCATGTCGGGAACCTCGTCTGGAGCATCTACTGCCCACGTTATCATGACTACTGATACCCTGGTACGATAAAAGATTCGTATCCATGTACTCTGTACGGAGCAGTTATATTGGGGGGGTATTCCTGGGGTGACGCAAAATGTGTCCTGAAGCTGGTCTTTTTCTTCCCGGTAAATTTTCTTTTTTTTGCTCCTCTTTTTTCCCTGTCCGCGTTCCATTTTGGCTTTCAGCGATGTAAATTTAATGAGGCATGTTCCCTTGATGATCAATAATATTGGGCTTTCAAACACCTTGTGGCAAATACGGATGAGCTTCCCTAGTCTGCGAAGAGCCTAGGTATTATCAGCGTGTTTCTTGCAATGCGGATCACTCAATCAATTTCTGCTGCGGTTCAACTCAGGGCCGGTCATCTGTGAGGTCTGTGTCATTATACCGGTTCGATACCACGGTTGTGCAGGACAATCCCACTCACAGCCACGCAAAAGGCGCGTGGACTTGGAAGTGCGAGTGACTCGTCCGCCTAGCCGCGAGGGAACAAGTAGGAACCCGCATCATCCTTGCTCCGAGGTTGCATATACGCAATGCATTACTATTTCCACTCCGGCGCGGGTGCGGCTTGTCAAGCAACACGTTCGGGATCATCCAGGCATTAGGAGGATTTGGGGGAGCTAGCAAATCCTGGTGAAAGTGATAGAGCGACGTTCGATGTAAAGGAGGTTGAGAGACGCCGAGAAAGGAAAGTGAATCCTTGCAAAACATAGAGTCACGTGAGGAAGGATTCACGTCATGTGACTGAGCTTATTAAATGGGGCTAAACCTTGATTTGCACGGACATGTTTTGCTCTTACTAAAAATGGAAATCGATCCCGAACTCTAACACAGCCCAACCTCCCTGCCTTTTACGGAAACCACGTCAGAACTTACGTCAGAAACTCCGTACGCCATTATTTTTTGATATACGGAATATTTTGAAAAGACTCAGGACGGAGCACGTCAAGACGAGGCCTCATAACAAGTTACACTGTACAGCCACAACTGGACGTCATGTTACAGGATGTACCCCTGTCTCCAGCTAATATATAGCCTGCATGGGTTCCCTTGACTCATCTTCCATCAGCCAACACCACCGTGAGAGGAAAATCAGTCTCGATTGGTTACCGCAGCCCACCGTGCACGAAGATCAAGTCGGCGATTAACACGCCTTATTCGGCGTGATAGCTAACAAAAAGAGTGGTACAATCAGTACGCCGCCACGTCGATTGATCCTCCCTGTATAACAGTGTTTCATTGCGAGTTTGAAGGATTTTAAGTACGGGGGTAATTTTTACAAGACGCTTCCTTCGTCCGCGCCAAGGGACAATCACCAGCAGCAAGAGCTTTGGCTCAAGCTTTTCCGCAAAAAAGACAAGCTTCTCTTCCTTCTCGTCTCCAGACGCTTGATGTCGTTTGACTTCAACTCTAACTCCTGTCAACGTTTACTCACCCTTCACGACCAACAGACAGATAGCACAGCAAGAGCAGTCTACTCCGTATACCAAGATGGGTGCTCAGTTTTCGCAGTTTTTCCCGCCCAAGCCGACCTGGACAGAAGCTAAGGTGGGCTCGCAGGATGGAAAGGTGTTTATTGTGACGGGTGGTGCTTCTGGCATCGGCTTTGAACTAGTTAAGATGCTGTACGGGAAGGGAGGAAAAGTTTACATCGTTGGACGGTCGAAAGAGAAAGCACAAAAGGCGATCGAGGAGATACAGGCTGCTATACCGAATGGTGGAAGCCTGGAGTTTCTTCATCTCGTGCTTGACGACCTGAGCACTATCAAGGCATCTGCCGAAGAGTTCATGGAGAAAGAATCCAGACTCGACATTCTTTGGAACAACGCAGGCGTGTCCCAAACTCCTCTTGGAAGCTTATCCAAACAAGGGATTGAACTGCAGCTTGCAACAAACTGCCTGGGACCCTTCCTATTCACACAGCTACTTCTCCCCCTTTTAGAAGCCACAGCAGCAACATCTACTCCAGGCTCAGTGCGCGTTATCTGGACGGGCAGCCAAATCGTTGAGCTGTCTGCTCCCCAAGGTGGGATCATTATGTCAGAGCTTACAACACCTCCAAAGGATCAAACTCGAACCTATATCACTTCTAAGGCCGGCAACATGTTCTTAGCGTCAGAGCTTGCTCGGCGAGTTGGACCTTCTCATAACATTATAAGTGTTTCGCTCAACCCTGGAGCTGCCAACACAAATCTCCTCAGGCACAGTCCTTGGATGAAATTTCTAGCTATGCCATTGCTATACAAGCCGAAACTAGCCGCCATAACTGAGCTGTTCGCTGGATTGTCGTCAGATGTAAACCTGGAAGAAAACGGGTGCTACATCATACCCTGGGGTAGAATTTCCCGGTCAGTGAGACAGGATCTAGTTGATGCGTCCAAGTCAACAGAGGAGGGGGGAACGGGAAGATCACAGGAGTTTTGGGAATTTTGTGAAAAGAAAACTACGGACTATATGTAACGAAGGAGTTGAACTCTACATCGTGATGGGTAACATTGGGTAGCGATAAGCCCAAGATTACTTTTCTATATTGACTATGAGCCAAAGGAATGCTGCATCAATTGTGTTAATTATACCAATGTTGTAATTATTATCGCTACTTATCTCTATGTATATGGGTGTGCAGGTTTCCAAACTCTCTGTCTATTCAACAGCGAGCTCAGCTTTCACCATGCGGCTACTATGATTATCCGTCCAATTAATAATTAGCAGAGGTGGTCACGCACTATTGTCTATCCTTACTAATGTTGTTTGCAACCATGACGATATTGCAGATTTTGATTGCCCATTGATTGATAACAGGCTCAAGTCGGAATCTGCCACCGAATCATTTTCGTCCACTCCCAAGAGAAATTCTAACCATTCATGATTCCATAGCTCCTTTTCCTCTTTTCTCACACCGTCGGAGAAAAGAGTCCAGGAGAATAGGTTTCGAGTGGCAATTTCGGAAAGTCTTTCCTTAATGTCCCCGTTTGAAATTCGCTGCGGTCTTATAATGAAAGGAATACAATAGGTGGATAACTCTCGCGTTACCGACAGGAAGGCTCTATTTACGAGTTGAGCAATGGCGCTACCAGCTTTACCATATCCAGAGAGAGGGGACATGTTTCCTGATAGGGTAAATCCGTAATCATCCAAGCATCGCACCTCTCCTGAGTCTTGACCTTGCCAAACCCAGTGACTATAGTTTAAACTATGGCCGCATAAAACGTGTAGCTGAACTTCGAGAGCAGTATCTCTAAGTCTCACATACCCAAATGGAGGGTAAGGGCTTAGGGGTAAAGCTGGGTAGTCTACAGATTCAAAATCTGTAATGTATAGAATTCGGAATTCATCTTCGCGCGTAATCAATTTCTTGAATGCAATATTCCTTTTCAATTTCGGCATGTGGTGAGAAACTGGATCCATAAAGGATTGTTGTGACGAACTCCATACAGCTGCCTCGAGGCAAATTGGGGGTATAAATGACTTATATACTTCTGGTATGCGATGCAGCATTCCAGTGATGGCTGAGCCTAATAGTAAAGGTGCCATATTTGGAGACCTTGTGGCTAGCATCTGTACGATAATGTGATGCTTTTGCTCAAGGATAAGAGCCGGTAAGATATCACTAAGTGGTGTATGTAGCCATTCGCTAGCAAGGTTACAGGGTATTCCCACTTCCCAGAAACAACTAAAGAGGCATGAAGATATCACATTAGGTATAGTGGAAAATGACATGAAATATGGAAGCTCGTCAAAGGTGGGGATCTTCTGTTTATATCCAATAGTGCTCTGCTTCTTTGGGTGGGTATGTAGGTAAGGTTTAGGAAGATTGACAGGTGCTCCAAATCTCATGTGGTACGGGATAGTAAGGACAGCAGCGAAGGCTGCGAGAAGCTGATCGAATATATCATGCATTTCCGCCACCCGAAAGAGATAACTCTGAGCCTGAGCTGAGGACGGAGGATCTCTTTCAGAAGATATGTTGAGTTCCGATTTATCATGAATAAGAGTAAACGGTTTTCCACCATCCTTCAAGTGGCAACTCCATGGAGAATGGTACTCCTTATTCTGGCGGTTAAGCGTTGCTCGCCATCCACACCCACTAGCGAGAATTGCAGCCCACCATCTAGACTCCTGTGCTAATGCTTCACCAATAGGCAGCTCATATCCAGCATTCGAATTCAAGCCACCTGATTTGTTTGCCATTTTTGCTATATTGTTGGTATAGTGAGTCTGGTCATGTTGATTTCCTCGAAGTTCAATCAAGCGTGTAGAGAGGACGTATGACCAGCCCAAAACGAACACTGAAAGAAAATTGCTACCAGATGCATCGGGTAAAGCTTCAAAACCTGGCCATTCAGAAAGAAAATTTTCTGAAAGGGAACAGAATGTAGGTTCTAGTACACCGATGCGTATCGTCTGAGGCCTGGCCTTCTTAGTCTCGGTGGTAAGATGACAGGGTGATGTTGAGTTGATATTCCAAATCGAGTATCCTTCCAGGGATAGAGAGTAATCCCCAGCAAACTCAGAAATCTTGGATGTGTCTGGAATAGCGGGAGTGCTATGCAAAAGGACCCTTAAACTGCTACAAGCATCGGGTAGTTGTGCTTTGGCTTCGGCAGACCAAAGGAGTTGATGCCATGTATTATACGAGTAGTCCAGGACTTTTGCCGAATCTCGCGGAGCCGGACGAAGAGGATCACCCTCCTTGCAACTCCTGTCCCTCCAACAGGCCATTATCGCCCGTAAACATCGAACATGTCCTCCTTTGTTGTCTGTTTCTCAATATTTGTCAATATCTGTTCTAACTTGATGTTGTTGCAATCGTGCGGCTCAAAATTTACCACGTGATAATGACTATGACTAAGCAAGTAATGACATAAGCAGGAGGGCGCAGCTTTCTCGGCTTTCGACACGAAGTCGCGGCGTTTCTTCTTCACTCCCTTTCTTCCTCGTCGCAAAGCAGAACGGAGAGGCCGTCGGATGTTTTGACGGTATTAGCATACTCCTTTGTCGCTCATTCTGGATAAGGCTTCAGCGTGCACCATGGCCGGGTGAGATGCCATGGGCTTTGGGTCTGCTTCCGCCATGCTTTGGTCCGCCAAGACGTTCCTGATCCTCTTCCTGCTGGTGGTGACTGTGTTCGCTCAGCCCGTCAGCATCGCTCATAGAAGAGGCCAGTTTGATACTGTGAAGCTCCATGAAAGTTAGTCCTCCCTATCAGTTGGATCCACCTGCCTGTTTGTGCAGCTGATGGCTGATGTGACGTATCTGTAGGCAAGGATGCCGTTTCGGTAGAGTTTGAGACGCCATGTAGGCAGTGTTTTGATGACGGGGAGTCCAATGTTGTAAGTTGGAGTACAATTTACGATTTCCGTACGCGTATACTACTCGATTCTAAATAATGGAGTAGATATTCGACATTCAAATTGCACGGACAACCAGTGTCTGTGGTGAAAGCGATGTGCAACTCAATGACCAAAAGCTCGCGTTCACCTGGGATGGAGCCAATGCTGTCGGAGATGGTATGGTTACTGCCCAGTTAGCGGGACGAAAAGAAGACGTTAATTTACGTCTGCATTGGAGAAGCTTGTGCATTGCCAGTCCTAGAGGGTCTATTGGAGATTATGCTGCCCAGATACTCACCTTCACATTTTATCCTGCAGGCCAGGAAGAAGGAAACGACACATCTGGCTTTGCCGTTTCATTCAATTCTGTGGATAAACCGGAGATTCTACGCCTTGTAACTTCACCAGCACCAACTTTCAATGAACCCTCAGTTCTGGAAGAATGGCTGAAAGCCAGTGGGAATGACAGACTACATCAAGAGAGTCTTGTCAAGAGCCATCCCATCACAGATGCTGAGTTAGAAGAACAGCTCAAGGAACTACACAAACTAAGAGACCAAGCCAAGGCTCTCGACAGAGTTATCAAGGAGAAAGATGAAAAGATCCGTGAACATCTCTTTGATGATTGTACCAATCTTACTGCGCAGCTCAAGGAGTGTAAAACTTACAGT